CAGCCATGTTAACTGGCTCGGGACCACCAAATGTTCTGCTGGTACCTTTGGAATTACGCATTCTGCAGTCCCAGGAGAGGAGGACAGGTGATGGAGGCAGAGATCAGTATGGTCAGAGGCAGCTCCCAGCACAGCACCAGCCCCTCCTGCCCCATGAGCCTCCTGATAGCATGGACGTGCTGGCTAGCTGCTATGACACCTGAAGAGGAATTCTTGTTGATCCAGCCTCTGTTGTGCAACATCTGTAGTGCAGTCCCAGAGAATGGCTGAAGGAGTCGGGTACAATCAGTTGCAAAGGCTGCACATTGCACAACTCCAGGAGTCGCTATTCCCATGGACCACGCTGGAAGGGCGCCCTCTGGAGTGATGCATTGTGGGAGCCCCGGGTACAACAGAACCTGCTGCACTTCCCAGGCCTATCAGGAGCCAGCCCTCCCTTTCGTTATCTGCCCTGACCCTCATCTAGCTTCAGGGTGGCAGACAGCATGTGGCTCTTCTTGCATTCCTGAGGCCCCTTTCTGCTCCAGAATGGTAAGACTATCTTAAGAGCATAAGTTGGCAGAAAAGCAGCTGAGAAACTTCAGTTTGGGCAAGAGGAGGCTGTCACAGCTTAGTCATGATCATCCAACAAAAATGCAGGTTCAGAGATGTCAGGAATGGGTCTGGGAACATTCATGGTTTACAGCAGCTACTGTTTTGAGAGCCCTTGCTCTGTGGAGCTACCATGGCTTAGGTATATTATCTCCTTCTACCCTCCCAACAAATCTACTGGGTGGGAGTCATTATATCCAATCCACAGATGAGGAAAATGAGGCACAGCAAGACTAATCAACTCTGTCAAAGTCACACTGCTGATGAAGTGACCAAAGTGAGCTTGGAGCCCTTCAATTCAACCACTCCTGGAAGAGGATGGCTGAATGGATTCTTTCATGAGTCTAAGCACTAGCTGTCATCAGGAAGGGAACGGGGAATAAAAATGTGGGTGCCATGTGCCAGAGTCACTATCACAACTAAGGAAAGACCAGAGGGAGCCAGAGGGCCAGGAGGGCCCCCAGGGCATAGTGCTGGAGAGGACAGATGCAGATGAGTCTGGAGGTGAGGTGACAGATAGTCAGTGTGGACCCCAATGGCTGAGAAGAGGTGCCCACTGAGATATACAGTCATGAAGCCTGAGTAGCCAGGGAGACCACGTCTTATTCTCCATCCTAGCCCCAGTGCCTGACCTGCTTCCTACTGTGGCATAGAGGTGCTAGGACCCTGCGGCTCAAAAGATGTAAAGGAAATGAGGTAAAAGATGGCCCTGGCACATGCTGGGTGGCCCAGTAGTGATAAGAACTAAGGGCCCAAAGGTGGTAGCACCTAAAAATAGACATTTATTCCTAAGAGCAGCTCCTCCCGACGACGTTTGGGTCATGATGAACTGCTGAGTGAAGCTGGGGAGATGAGGGCTGTGCATATGGAAGCGGCCATCGCTCTCCTCAGTTGGGTCACTGGTGGCAGAACATGAGCTGGCCCAGGTGGAGGCCATTCTGATTGTGCAGAGTCCCTGAACCGTGGCCAGAGTAAAGACATATTCTCTTCCAGGTCCCAGATTTCTTGTCTATGACAAAAGCAGAGTCCAACATATCAATGGCTTTCAAAAGACAGAAAACTGGAGATGTTCGAATAGAATCTGGCTGTGCCCTTCTTGACCCACCTCTCTGGCCCCATGGGGTATCACAGACTGACCTCCCCACCCCCCGCAGACTCTGAAGCATATTTTGAAAATCCCTGAAGTTATTTGTCCAGCCAATAAGCTTTTCCTGAGACCTGCTGTGTGCCAAGCATTTCCTAGGTGCTGGAGACACAGAGTGATCAAGACAGATGGAGCTCGCATCCCATGCAGCTTTTGCTCTTGATGGAGCTAAGGAGAGACCAGAGAATCACCAAGGAAGCCGACCAGCCAGAACTTCCAGATAATGACAAGCTAAAGGAAAATGCAGGAGATGGGAGTGGGGGTGTTTATTTTCTTTAAATCCGGTGGGGGAAAAAGAAAAAGCTTCCCAAGAGGAGGTGACATTTGGACCTGCATGACCAGAATGAACCATCCATGCAAAGCCCTGTGGGAAGAGCATCTGGGCAGGGAGGCAGAGAGGGCAAAAATCCTGAAGGAAGTGGGAGGCCAGGGGCTTCAGGGAGGTGGGGGAGGGGGGTGATAGGAGGAGGAGGGGACGCCAGCCAGTTTGGGGGCCTGTGGGTCAAGGCCGGGGACTGGGCTTGATTTTAAGTGAGACAGGACCATCTCTAAGGTCTTTTGAAAGCCTCTGCAATCCCCTAGAGGCTTTTAGAAAGGATATACAAATAACCTTGATCAATTGCTGCGTGCATCTAAGGGCGAGTCAGTCCACACAGCACTTGCAGTGGCTTAGGAAGGGGTGGGAGTCCCATTTTCCAGCCGCTGAAGCATCAGAGCCTTATCTGGTGTATACAAGTCTTGCTGACCCTGCTGTGCATAAACCCGGGAGTCCCTGGGTCACTGAGATGGCAGATCCAGAGAGGAGGGCAGATGGGGAGGGCCTAGCTGGGGCTCCACGAGGCTGAGGCACTAACCCAGTGCTAGGCTCTGCCTTCGCTAATGAAGCCACTCCAACTCCCAACCCAGCCTGAAGCAGCCCTCCTCTGCTCAGGAGTATGAAGGCAATCAGATCTCTCTCACCAGGGGACCCTCTGTCAAAACATTAATGAAACAAGTCACAACAGAGGCCCACATGGGTTGCGTTTAGGAAACCAGTGGGAATCCCAGAACAAGGCTGCTTTAGGGGAAATAGATGGCCTGGGGATGGGGGAAAAAGCTCCTGGTGGGGCCATGTGGGTCTGGGGTGGGGTTGATGCCCATGGATGGGACAGTGAGGACAGGTGACAGAGACAAGCATGCAAACAGGGCACTGATTTGCGCAGCTCCAGGGGCCGCTGTTCAGCCCTGTTGGTGCTAGTCCAAGTCTTCCAGGAGGCTGGCACCCAACAGGCCAGGGGACAACACAGGGTTAAGCCCTCGGCTCAGACAGGGGAGGCAGGTGGCCAGGCTTGGATAGAGAACAAGCAGAGAATCTGCTGACGGGACAGGGCCCCACCCCATCCCGCAGTGAACTCTACTGAATGCTCCACCTCTCTCCCCAGTGTTTTCTTTTAATCCAGAGAAAAAGGGAACAAAATGAGTACCCAGCATGGCCAACCTTTGAGGGAAGGTTACAGGTGTGAGATAAAAAGGGGAAGTTAAGGCCCAGTCAGGCCTTGAGGGAGGGGGGGCTTGGAGAGCGCTTGCTGGGTCAGGGACTTCATTTGAGATTTAGGATTTTAAGCCCTACCTATCAGGGTCTCCCCTTTCCCTGGGTTGCCCTTGGCTGGGTGCAGCTGCTATATTCCTGCTGTAGGCTCAACCTGGACCAGTACCTAGATTAACATCTCTTTGGGCTCAAGTCCCTCCATCTGCTGTAGGAAAAAAAAAGCTTCATGGTCAAATTCAATTTGAAAAACTTGATGGCGATTTCCAAGGTCCATCAGCTTGTTAAGAAGCCCTGCAGGGAAGGGACCCAAAATGAACTAGGGTTAATTTTGTTCAACCTTAACTTTCTCTGAGGGATGAGACCCTTTTCACCTGCAAAGCCAGTTGCTGGTCTTGAAAGGCGTGTAGTATAGAAACCGCCTTGGAGAACCAAGGGAGAAGGGCCCCTGTCTCCGGCCAGGAAGTGGACACAGGAGAAGCTGGTCTTGACTTTCTCACTCCCCTACAGGGCAAACTGGGGGCAGAGGCTATAGTTCTGCCCTTGGGGAAGGAAGAGAGCAAGTGGCCCAAGAGGCAGGGCTAGAGAGAAGAGCTTAGATACACTCTGAGGAACTGTTTTGGGCTTTTAACTAGTAGTTGACAAATAGAGCACATTGGGATCACCTGGGCAATTCTGAAACCCACAGATTCCCCACCGACATCCCCTCCAACCCACTGAAGCAGAATCTCCTGGAGCACATCAGGGCTTCAGGCACCCGTATTATTTTTGAAAAGCTCCTCAGATGCAGCTAATTTTAGGCCCCGAAGGCTAACTCTAATGACAACCTCCAGGCCTCCTTTTCAGTGTCTTGTGATGTTGAAAAACACTTACTACATTCCTGCCTGAGTCATCCTAAAATCCAGGCTTCCCCTGAGCCATCTGGATATGCAGGTCAAATGAGATGGGTTGGAGGGGACACAGGGAGCAGCTGCTTGGGGAGGAAACGAGTGAGGGGAGGGTCAGGCCAAGGGTCCAGACTTCGCCGGGAACAACCCCCTACACAGGACCTGAGGCGGGGCTGAGGCAAGGAAGCCACGTTTTCTGAGTGAGGTGTGAGGTTGAGCTCCGACTCGCCTTAGACATTTCTCTTCTAGAGAGGTTTTTTCCCCCAAAAGTAGCCCTGGAAACAGCGAGGACATGGAGGGACAGAGCCACAAGGTGTCCCAAGGGCGGACAATGGGCGGCCCAACGACCAAGTCTGTTCAGAGCTGGGTTCTAATTAGATGTCACAGCGTTGCCATGATCTGACACTTTCCTTTACTGGCTTGAATGGGACGTGCTTGGAGCGAGGGGAGGAGCCTCAGAAGCAGCCTGTGACCCTCTATCCACGTGCCCTCCCCTCTGGGACTCAGCCTCCCCCTCTGCATAATGAAGAAGACGGTGTGGTGACCCCTAAATATCTTTCTGCTGCAATGTTTTATGACTCTGTAAAACAGAGGCTCGGGAAAGCCTGACGGTTTACACAAATTCACCCCTTTGGCTAGTGGCTTTTAGTTAGGCCTTAATTTATCATGACTTCAACTCCATTTTACAGATAGAAAAGTAGAGGTATTCAATGACATGCCTGCATTGAGATAAATCTCTGGGGTCCTGATCCTCATTTGGTCCTCTTTTCAGTAGCTGGGTTCACCTCAGCTCTGGAGACCCCCCACCCTCTACCTGTCACTCCCCGTGGGGATCCCCCTTTGGGGCTGTCACAGCGCAGCTGCTGTATCTGCAGTGCCCTCTGGAGGACGCAGCTGCCCGGTGCCGCAACTGACGCAGCGCGTTCTGGGAACCAGAGATCCCTGCATCTTGCAAAGGATGGAGGAGTGACAAAATGCCCATCTGAATATTGTTGGTGCTCTCCTTGTCAAGAACTGAAAGGAATTTCTAGTACTATGGTTCATTCATTCATTCATTCTTTCAACTAGTCTGTTGTATGTGCCTGGCCCTGGGTTAGGGATAGGGCACACCAGACATGAAAGGTGACTGCATCCGTTTCAAGGCACTCCCACAAGCCTCCTCCACAGACAGTAGGTCCTCACTGGATCTTGGCCCCTGGAGGCAGGCTTAGCATCTCCGTGTTATAAATAAAGAGCCCGAGGCTGAGAAGTGAGGCAGTTTCCCCTCTGTCATGCAGCCATCGGTGCCCAGTCCCTGGGCTGACTCCGAGTGCACTGCTCCTCCCACCGCACACACTGGAGGAAAGCAAACACCGCGCCTTCCCCTGGAGCAAGGCCTCCCAGCTTCCCATTCCTTGCTGGGAGTGGTGTGTGGAGGGAGATGCTCACACCACCCACTGCCCCTCCCCGACGCAGAAGGGAATACTATGGCAACCCTGCCCCAAACAGCAACCTTCTTTGGCTTCCTGATCGTGCATGTCTGAACCTGTTGATGCTGTAATTTTCCATAGTGGGGCCTTTAAAAGCCTCAAAGGTAATAATAACAGCTGCCATTTTATTGTCCATCTCATTTGTGCCAGGTCCTCTATTTGCGTTCCCTTGAACCCTCACAACTGCCCCACGAGTCCATCTCACATATGCACAAACGCAGTGAGGCTCAGAGAGGACAACTGCCTTACCCAAGGGCATACAGCTAGGACTTCAACCTCAGTCTGGGCCAACGCCCACATTTTTTCTAATTTACCACAGGGTCCCTGACTTTTCTTTTCCTTTTCATTTGTTTTCTCCTCTGAACTGCCTACCCAACTCTCCCTCTGGTCCTCCTATCCCCTGTCTTCCAGTTGCTGTGCACAGTAGGTCATGGCCTGACCCACAAACTAAATGAAGGTCTGCAGCAGAGTGTCTCAGCCTTGGGATTATTGACATCTGGGGCCAGATAATTCCCTCCTATGCATGTATGTGGGCGGAGACTGTGCTGTACACTGCAAGATGTTTCATAGCACCCCTGGCTCTATCCATGAGATGCTAGTAGCATCTCACTTTCCAGTGGTGACAACAAAAAATGTCTCCAGACATGGCCAGATGTTCCCTGGAGAAAGGGGGCAAAATAGCCCCCAGGTGAGAGCCACTGCTGTCTAGAAATGAGGGGTCAGGTTCAGGTTGGTTACAGCCCGTCTTCCCCGTTAGACTGTATGCAGGTGGAGGGCAGGGAAAGTGGGTTGATTTATTCGCTGCTGTGTTATCCATGCCTAGCACAGTGCCTGGCATGTAGCAAATGCTGCTGAAAGAAGAATGAATGAATGAATGAATGAATGAATGAGTGAATGGAATGAATGGAATGAATGAATGAATAAGTGAATGAAATGAATGAAGGAATGCTCATGAATGGTCTCTGGGAACATGGCATGTTCTGCAATGAGAGCCTGAAGTTCTAGATCCCTGTCCAGAGTCTTACCAACCAGCTCTGGGGCAGCAGCCTGGGGCATCTCCTTCCCCTCTTTGGGCCTGGGTCCCTTTTGCAATCTCTTAAATGAGGGCCATCACAGGCCTGGAAGGCCCTGGGCATCCGCGATCTGGGGACTGTCAGAGACGAGGGGCTGAGGGGCTGTTTTCCAGGCCAGGCATTGCCGGCCTGCTGTGTCCTGTGTTTCTCCTTACCGTCGCCCCTCAAGTCAAGTCAATTACAGAGAGACAGGCACCCCGCCCCCACATCCACCAAAATAGTGACCTACAAGGAAGAGGTGGCTCCTTTTTTGAGTGTGTATCTTAAAAGGAAAAACATGTAACCTCAAAGGTAACCAAATATCCAAATCGTGATGCCCAGCATCACCCACCCCAAATCCACCTATTCATGAGTTTAACAAAAAGCTTCTTTAGGATACACTGTAAGGCCATTGAGAGGGAGAGAAGTCACCTCTCACAGGCCTGGCCAGCCCACAGGGCCCGCCCTCCCAGCGTGCACACACACACACACACACACACACACACTCCTCCCCTTACAAGGAGGCTCTGAGTTTTTAAAAGTAAACTCCACTGTTTCCGTTCTTGCCCTGGATTCAACTTTTGAAAAAAGAAGCCGTTTTACCGTGTTCCCCACAAATCCCCCTCTCTGGCCCTCCTCTCGCCTGCACTCCTGCTCCTTCTTCAGCCCTCCCCTTGTTTTGCTGGTCTCCCAGTGGCCCTTCTTCAACCATGCCCAGGGGCCCAGACTCCCTCGCAGGGGTGGCTGGGTCCTGTTGGATCTGGGGGAAGGGGAGCAGCCACTCCCAAGGTAGCTGTCACAGAAACAGGACTTTCATCCCATTGAACAGGGCTTCCTTAAGTTATCAGGGCGGCAGTGCATCAGGACACGAAGCATGGCCACGAGGCCAGGCTGCAGTGACAGCAGGAGAGGAAAGCTCCTGTTCCCAAGACGTGCTCCCATACTCAGATCCCCTTTCCCAGGGCAGCTGCTGGCCTGTCCCCTCCCCTGCTCTACTGTAGGCAGACCTGTTCTCCATGCCCTGCTTCCTCTCTGACTCTGGGCCCTCTTCCTTGAACTTGCCTTTCCCCAGCTCCAGTTTCCACCTCAGCTGCCTTGACTCCCCAACATCTGGTGCAGTGGCAGCAAGGGTGCCCCAGCACAAGCCACCTAGCACCACAATGCTGGAATTTCCGACACAGAAACATCAGTGGATTCAATATAGTAAAAAAATAAAAAATATATATATGCAAATATCAAATTTGTACATATTTTCATATATACATTTATATTATAAACACACATATTCTCACAGAGGGCTTCAAGATATATAACAGAAACAAAAGTTTCCAGAAACAATACTTACCTTTGCTACATAGGAGGCACTATTATCTAGTATTTTCTATTTTATTAAGAACTCCACTGGCCGGGCGCGGTGGCTCACGCCTGTAATCCCAGCACTTTGGGAGGCCGAGGCGGGTGGATCACGAGGTCAAGAGATCGAGACCATCCTGGTCAACATGGGGCAGGAGAATTGCCTGAACCCAGGAGGCGGAGGTTGCGGTGAGCCGAGATCGCGCCATTGCACTCCAGCCTGGGTAACAAGAGCTAAACTCCGTCTAAAAAAAAAAAAAAAAAAAAAAGAACTCCACTAAATTGATTTCACAACCTGCAGCTGGACAAATCCGGTGCTAGACATCCCTGCAGCAGCAGACAGACTCAAAGTGGGACTCTAAGCAAGGTCTCATGGGCTTCCTTTGGCTCAGCTGAGGTCCTCCTGAGGGCCCAATAAGAAGGGCCTTGGGAGGAACCCAGTTCTAGGAGACATCATTAAAAATAAATTCACTGGCCGGGCATAGTAGCTCGTGCCTGTAAGCCCAGCACTTACACCTGCCAAGGCAGGTGATCACCTGAGGTCAGAAGGTCGAGACCAACCTGGCCAACATGGTAAAACCCCATCTCTACTAAAAAATAAAAAAATTAGCCTGGTGTGTTGGCACACACCTGTAACCCCAGCTACTTAGGAGGCTGAGGCACAAGAATCACTTGAACCTGGGAGGTGGAGGTTGCAGTGAGCCGAGACTGGGCCACTGCACTCCAGCCTGGATGACAGAGTGAGACTCCATCTCGGAAAAAAAAAAAAAAAAAAAGATTCACACCAAGAGTTGGGACACACAGTTTCTTACCAAGAGAAAATATTTGAATTTTTTGCTATCCATAACTTGGGGTTTGTGGTGACCCCCAAGGAGGCTTAGGAGCTGTTAGAGGGGAGGAATTAAGGTTTGTGGTGACTGCTGAGAGCTGAACAAGGCACCCATTTTATGTCTTTTAATCTTCACAAAAATCCCTTATTGGAGGATTTTCTCCCGTTTTTAGAGAAGAGGACATGAAGCCTCCAGGAGGCTGAGTACCCTCATCAAAGTCATGTAACCAGTGAGTGGCTGAGCCGGGATTTGAACCCCGGTCTTCCCTGCATGGCGGGCTGTCCACCGTCCCGGCTCTTCCCCACCGTCTCAGGAGGTGAGGTCTCTCTTGGAGCTCCCTCTCTAATTGGGGAGGGGCATAAGAGGAGGAGAAGGTGCTGCCTTGGCATGCAGGGGTGAGTAGCTGCCTGGGACTGGGGTTGTGTGAGAGAGAGATGGGGAGCAGGGGAAAGAGGTGTGCCTGGGTGTGAAGAGGACTTCCAAACATTAAACAAAATATTCCCGTGTAAGTATGATTTTCACTGAATATTACAGGAAAAGAAAAACATTCATTTGCTACTAGCGTTAAGGATGATAATAGTAATATTAACAGTACCGAACAGTTACTGAGTACTCGCCCGCTGCCAGGCACCACGCTCAGCCCTTGGCTTGGGTCGCCTCACATCTGTCTGTTGAGTTCTTGCTGTCCGAGCGCACAGCGCGGCGCCTAGGTGGCGCTCAGCAGATATCGGAGAATGAATGAAAACACCAGGCACAGCAGTAGAAGCTACGCACAAGTGTATCTACACCAAACACAACTCAAGGTAGCCTGCGGAATTCCAGCATCTCTCTAAGACGTATTTTCTTCCTTTTGACAATTCCTTCGTCTGAAACTTTTTAAGCTGGGGAGATCTATTGTTCTGCAATCTCTCTTTCGGGTTAGAATCCCCCCCCCACACTCCCACTCCGTGCTTCCGCCCCCAGCAAGCCTCGGGGGCTCTCTTCCCCATTGCCTTTCCATTGGCCGCAGTCTGTCCCTGGACTCTGTGATTGACAAGCCAACCGTCCTACTCCGCATCTTCGCAGCACCTCCAACCTTGCCCAGGGCGCATGGGCACCCTGATTGCTCCTTGAACATGGCAACCCGGGATGAGGAAGAGAGGTAAGGATTAGAACCCAAGCCTTCTGGACTCTTAAATCGGGATGAGGGACCGACTACGGCCTCAGAAAACTTAGATTCTAGTTCTGCCCCTGCCCCTAAGTCG